GAAAAAAATATTCGATACAGCTTACAGAAACCGAAATGAATTTGTCAACGGACAGTTGATAATAATAATATAATTATGCATCCCAACCTCGGATTTCGGTATTTGGTCATAGCCTATAGTCTCAAATATTCGATGGCGGCTATTTTTGGTACTACACTTGATTTTGCTATTCACTAATGCTGAGTATCAAAAATTCTCGACTAGAAACGAATAGGGTCGATCATCTGATCTCTAGCCAGATAGCCACATGAACACTTAACAAATAAGTGATTTTAAGTTACATTCTCTTACTTTTTTTTAATAGTTTAGAAAATCTGTTTATTTAAATGAAAATTAACAAAGAATTTATTTTCGAATGTCTTATACAATATTTGGGTTTTTCCTGAGAAAGAATTAAAAATTGCAAAACTTTAATCTAATTCCAAAATAATTCCAATTAAATATTTTTTACTTCCTTTAGATTTTTTAGAAGCTCCAAGTATAAAAATGTGCCTCTACTCAGACCAAATCAAATTCTAATTCGTTAGTTATTCTTTCGTTAAAACACTTAACTGTGAACGGATTTTTTGCTCTATCTCGGTGGTGTGGTAAACTTTACTCCAAAACAATTATTTGAGGCTCTGTGCAAATCGTTATCTCGACAAAAATTGTCCAATTAATTACCATAAAACAGCACGTATGGTAATGCGCATATAGATTTATTTCTTTTTATATTGGATGCCATGTCGCTGCATTAATTTGTTGTTGTTATTGTTATTTTATTAAGCTCTTCATAACTCACAATCAAAAGTTTTAATAGCTCATTGGGCTAGACCGTCAAGATTTAAATTTTCAGCCGATTGGAACACAGCCTAAGAATGAAAACACCGATAAAAAGTGTAAAATCAAAAATTTAATTGAATTTCGCAATAAAATAAATAAAATTTGTAGACAACAAAACAAAAAAAAAAAACAGCTGATTTGAATGTTACCAAACAATGACAAACTGGTACTTCGTTACTTGGTAGACTGATAATAAAACCGAATAACGAGTAGCGAATTAACATAGCTGGCCAGAAAATACCTAAGAGGTCTCAAAGGTGCGCAGTGCGCAAAAGCGATGGTGATGAATTGAAAAGTAAAATATATTTTTAATTACAAAAAAGAATTTACTTATCCATCCACAGGTGCATTTTGCCCATGCAAGGGGTGGCACTTTACAGCGCCCAGAAAATACTTTTATGGGTCACTGTAAGAAAAGCTAGATGATCATTTGTATATACGTGTATGTATGAGTTTTTCAGTAGACTTTTTCATACCTACGACCTGTACAGTATATAGGGTACATTAAGCTTGTGAAGTAGGCAGCTGGATATACGAAAAACTCAAGAAACGTTTTCCACGTTTCAAAATTCACAAAATATATGTGATCCAAGGAATCATTAGAACATCAATAATAATCCACATTTGAATATGTGTAAAATTGGCACTTTGTAATCGCTGAAGCGATTTTCGTCTGAGCCCTTCCTCCAATTTGTTGCCGGAGAAACTTACTATTTATTCTAAGTCTCCGGACGACTGATGGATTTTTTCTTTATTTGCTATCTTAAAATGTAACGCAAGCCATGATCGGCTAACGATAAGTGCACAGTGCCGCAAGCACTTCAATTTCCTTCTTCAAAGTATTCAAGAAATAGTGATGATGTCTATCTATCAGCCCAACAATGCAACTTAAGCTATGGTAAAGATATCTTGACATAACTTCGTACAAACATTCCTCGGCGAAAAAGTGCGAATAACATTCAATGTAGGCTAAATTGTTAGTTGAACCTCAAAACCTATAACTCCAAGAAATGGCAAACTTTTCTAAACTGGAGAAGTTGTATTGTTATGTTGAGCATGAAGACCCTGCCACGCCATCTTAAATCGAAGTGTGAAGACAGTAAGAGAAAAATCAGGAAAACGTGCTGTTCCAACGGGTCTACCGTTAAGCGATGCCCATCATTATCGCTCCAGTATTTCATAAATAATTCTTTACTTTCGAGCTATGTCATCCACTAAATTGACGACGTTTTGACAAAATAATATGTGTAAATTAAATGCAAGATAATTCGTAAAACCCCTCCTTGAGACACATTAGCCAATATTACTGATAACTTATAGTAATGTGCAATATTCATATATATATGTTTATTTAAACAAGTTTTATTAAATGCCTGAGCAACATTGGGATTGCTAGGGAACTGTTCTATGTCATTGTATTCATTTTTGACGCCCGCGATAGCCTGCCATTCGGAAGGCTCGGATTAAAATCCTGGTGTCGTGCTAACATCCAAAAACTTACAGAAATTTAATTTAAGTAAAAAAATAAGTAAAATGTTCTATTTGCGGTCGCCCCTTGGCAGGAAATGACAACCCCTTCGTGTGTATTTCTGTCATGAAATAAGGGTCCTCATAAAAAAACCATCTGCCGTTTGGAGGCGGCTTATTATAAACTGTAGGTCTCTCCATTTTTTTGGAAAAATATCATAACGCGAAACCACAAATCGAAGAAGGAGCTCTTCCGAGAACCGTTTAAGCGGTTACAAAGCGCCAATTATATAAAGATATATATTCATGTTTGGACGTCAAAAATAATTCATAATTAAATTATTTACAGCGTTCTTAAGTTTAATAAACTTCATTTAACGAATATCTAATACTGTAAATAGCAGCCGGGTACCTAATATTCGGTTCCACCCGCATTAAGTTTTCCTTAGAAGCTATATTTTTCTAGTTCAATAATAAAATGTTATAGCATGCATAAATACTGTGGGCTTAATTAACTATACTATGAATATGAGAAATATTAATATCCCTAATAAAATAGCGTTGATCAGTCACATTCGGTGGTATCAAGAGTGTCATCATCGTAAAGCTGACTGAAGAAAAAAAATACTTTTTACGAAAACATCTAATATCAATTATGACTTGCAACGAATGGCAATGACACTGTCATATACATTAGCACATTAGCAAGTAAGATAAAGAGACACCTACGTAAAGGATTATTTACTAGAAAATTGACGCCCTCAGACGCCGTGAATACATATAATTTCTCTTGACGAGATTAGATTGGCGGCACGGGGCTCTTGTTATTTACAGCGACTATTTTTTTAAGCGTTGCTATTGTTGGATAATTTATGATACAAATTATTATTAATATGTCAACTAAATGAACATAAATTTACACGCTTCGACATTTAATCACTTCTGGCAGTCGCTTGTTTATGCTATTTGCTTATGAAGCTGCATTAAATAGAACAATTGTGGCATTTTAAACCAAATTTTGATTGTAAACGAAATGCGTCAGCAATAGCACAGTGATGCAAAGTAAACTGCTGCCGTATTGTTTTTTTAATTTAACTATATCACTTAAATGGGCTTTCTGCAGAAGGTCTTCTGTGCCGTAGAATGAGACAGTTAATAAGACATTTTGATCTGAGCACTTGTCTAACCAATGTCAAAGCGGTATTATGTTTGCGGTGACAACAATGTAGTTTTCACAAAATAAAAAAAATAAACAATTAAGCGAGAAAAATAAAATCATGTGAGTCAGAAAGTCATAAACAAATAAAATTGTAAAATTATTCTCAATAACAAAAAAAAAAAAACATATGTGTATATTGTATAACAACTGAAGCAAAAGAAAATTCTTAAATTTTATATCTGCCTTCAGAAAAAGGGGAGGTTTATTTAATGGGTGCCAAAATTCTAAACAATATATAATTTTTCTAGTTACATTTATTGAAAGTCATTCAATTTTAATTCATTCCTTCAAATGAGAGTTTGGGGCTACCTAAATTTCCCATAAAAATCAAATAATGTTTAAATCCTGTTACACCATAGCTTAAAATATCAATAATGGTGTACAATTCTTGAAGACATCAAAACTTGCAAAAAAAATTGCCTTAAAAAATAAGTAAAGGCTAAATATTTTTTAAATTCTTACACAAAACTTAAGAGATTCTACATAAAAAGTTGATTAATTTAACCCGGTATAAAAAGGTTTAAGGGGCACACCTTGTGTGAAATTTTTATATTCTATATTTAGGTAGATTAAACCTTTAAAAATACACATTAAAATTGCAAATCGATATTTCAAATAGTTTTTGAGTTATAGCAATTTAAAGAGCAGTCGCTCGGCAGCTAGAGAGTCTCATTTGCTACGAGTGAAAACGCTCATTTTATCTTTAAACGCATTTTTCTCGAAACAGCATTTTCCGAATTTGCTGCAGTGATTACTCAAAAACAATCACTATCGAATTTTTTTTTACATGTTCTATATATAGTTTTCCGTACAATGACCTATCGATTTTTGATCTGATCAAAAAATCGAATTTTGGCAGGCCAAAAACGACCAAAGTTTTAGGTAAAATCGACTATTTCTGTTTAAAACGCCGCCATATTGTCAATCTTTGATTTTTTTTTATCGTAGGTCATTGTACAGACATTATTATCTAGTAGAGAATTTTTTTTTTTTAGATTTCATCCACGGAGAAGGCCGGAATCACTGCAGCAGTGTAGTACCTTTTTTTTCGCGCCGTTGGAGATCGACTATAACTTAAAAAATATTAAATTTTTTTCTTCAAAAATTTCACTGTATATTCTTGAAACATGTATAAATATATTCTTAAAATTTTGAAATAATTAATGAAGTATTTTTTTAATTAAAATTCTCAAAAAGCACCTTTTTATTAGGCTATTACACTAGATGTGCCGCTTAATCTATGTCATTCTGGGATGAGAAGCAAAGATATCTTGAAAATTATATTACATGATATATTCTAGCCAAGTGAATGTATAACATCATGTTACTTTGCGACTTGCTCTGGACACATTCCGTCGGATTTTTCGCCGTGTTAAATACTAAAAATACTCACATTAATAAATTCGTATATCTTATATTTAATCATAATAAAAATGAAATGAAATACATTTTGCTTTAATATTTAATAAAATTACGGTTATTTTTATTACAGGCAATTTTATTTTATACACCAAGATGGCTGTGGAAATCTTGGGAAGGTGGTAAAATTCATGCGCTCATCATGGACTTAGATATAGGAATTTGTTCCGAAGCTGAGAAAAAACAAAAGAAGAAATTACTATTAGATTATTTATGGGAAAATCTAAGGTGAGAACTATACATATATGTATGTACGCACTTCATTTGTTCAAATATTCTCAATGGTTTGGTCATATGTAATCAAAAATTTCACACATAAAATTTATTTCACACAAAAAGTAAGCATAAAAATATTTAAAACTTTGTTCCTTATCCATAAATAATGCTTGTATAAAAATTAATTGAACCTGTTGAAATAATAAGCATAAAAGTTTATGTGGAAGGACTGGCACATAATTAACAACTACATATTTTACCATATGAAAACAATTTAGTTATTAATAAAGAAATACTTATGTGTTTACCTTATTTTTTTAATTAGGTATCACAACTGGTGGGCTTACAGATACTACGTGTGCGAATTATTGGCACTCATTAATGTGATAGGTAAGTAAGCAAGCAGCGATTCTCAAGCATTTCATTATATAATATTATACATACACACAGCTAGCTAATCAATATATGGTTAATAATATTGTTTAGGTATGAAAATTCCGTAATATGCACGAATGGCACAGTTTTTATATACAAAAAATGGCCTCTCGGTATACATATACGTATGTATCTCCGTAAGCCGACTAGCCAAAAGACCTGCACCCATGAACACAGATAAGTACTGCCTGAAAGGGGTTTTCTCTGCTTGGTACCCTTGACAAGGCAACTCTGTGTTAATGTTCAAATTGCGACTACGCGCGATGCGTCTCTATACTAACGGCCGCTACCAAGAAGGTGCTACCGTAGGGCCCGGTTAGCACAATGGCTGCATATAAAATATTTTGGCGAACTTTAATGAACGAATGTTTTAAAGTATTTCATAAATACTTTATATCTATCGTATGATGTATCTAAGGTTTATTCAAGACGCTTATTTTTTTTTTTGTCAGCAATACCGTCGAGAGTGGCCCGTATTCTTAAATAGACTCATTTCATAGCCATATTTTTCGGTCCAGTAAACTAGCTTACATCCATATGCTGAATAAGATCTAATTGGCGACATTAAGAGTTCTTATACCAAAGCATGGGCGTAATGTGCCACCATCAGACATGCTTTTGTTTGCCAGTTTCTCTATAGAATCTTTGTATATATACCCACAATAAAACAGGCTTCCACAGCGTATAAGAGTAAATAGTTTGCTTGACTTGTTTCGATTCGATAGCCCAGTAATTAAAAAAATGTTTGTAGTATAGTGCATTTGCAGGGATTGGCAAGAAATCATCCACTATGGGCTGCTTCCTTAAGATTCCTTAAGATCAAACTATTAATTCGTCCGTCAGAAAGAAGTATTCGCTTAGTTCCTCCATTTTAGGTGCTGATGTTTTATGCATTCACCTTTTAGTCCGAACATCGCACTAAGTTATTAACATCTGTTTCTATCTATGTGGTATAATTTGGCTGGGAAGAATTGGCCTCAAAAGATGCCTGTGAAAATGGATAATCTCAATTTCAATGAGGGAGCCAAAATGGCCAAAAGTTATGACAACAATGGTAAATAAAGCCTTCAATGTAATGCAAAAGAAAGAATTTTCAGGGATATCCGATTTGCGATTTCGAAAATACAATAAAGACACTTGAAATGGTTTTTCTTAAGAAATCTCTTTTTTATTATCAATTCTCAGCCTTTGCATTACACGAGAATCACTACACACTAAAAAGACCGCCTCGCGAACTTTTTGCAAACTTCTTTAATTGCAAGCCAAAGAAAAGTCGGTTCTCATACCATTAGTGGTATTGGTGATTGGATATTACTTTCAATTATTTTGGAATTATCGTAGCCAAAAATGCAAAAATTTTACTTGCTTTCGTATCCCCCGGGTGAGAAATGTACCTCGTTTAGTTCGAAAAATCGCCTGCCATTGCCTATTGGACTTCATATGAATATAGGTGTGGGTCCACGTACAAAATACGTCATAATGTGCTGTAAGTAACTCCCAACCCTTGAGACCGTCGAAAAATATACACATTCGGGTGTTCGGCTACACTTTCACTTACAGTAGCGATATTTGAGGTGGAATGAGCAAAACGATAATTCATAGGCCTTACAATATCTGTAACCAATCCAGTCTCTCCGAATTTCTTTACAATTTTACCTATATACATTATTTTATAATCTTTTAAAGCCGCTTCGTCCATGTTTGAATCAACATTTTGTTGTAGGCTTTAACAATTTTAACGCGTTTTGAGGTTGTCAAGCGACTCAAACAAAACATGTTTGGCTTGACAGTTAAGTTTGATAGACTTCAAAATTCAGCCAAGCTCTTTTGAAAACACGAAATGATTAACCTATATAAAGTGAACTGTTTACTTCAGTACCTATGTTCTCTGGTTGAAATCGTTTTTTATGGTGAAAAGTTAAAGTTCATTCTTATATGTACAATATATAAATTTTTATTACAATTCTGAAGATAATGAATTTTTTTTATTTTACTTTCAGGTCAAATGTTTCTTATGAATCGATTTTTCGATGGCGAATTTTTACAATTTGGTTGGAAAGTGATAAAATATATGGAAGATGATCAAGAAGATCGCATGGATCCCATGATCTACATTTTTCCCAGAATGACCAAATGTACATTTTTTAAATACGGTTCAAGCGGAGAGGTGAGTTGTTCACAATTTATAAATTTGAATTAAGTAAGGAAGACTAATTTCGGAAAGAAGCGGATATTAGATATTTAGCTCTTCACATTAGTCGCCAGGCGGCTTATATGACTTAAACAAAATAAAAAAAAAAGAGTTGAGGGCTTTTGGGTTCTGTTAAATGTAAACTGTAATAAAATATTTCAGTTTCGTCGAGCCTTCCAGGACTATTCTAAAGGTTTTGGGTACACCACATAAAAAACATACGCCAATGAAAAATCAAAATCTGTCTCGAATGAGAGACGCCCGACCAGCCGACTTCTCTGAGTCGTTTAAAAGAAACAGAAATGGAGTTTTGAATATATATGTACATAACATAAGCATAGATGTTAGCAATAGTATATATATATATATTTTTAATATTCTCTACTGTGAGGTTTTCATGTATCAGCTTATAAACTAGATAATGAATATATTTATATGTATGCATGCACATATATACATATGAAAAGATACAGTGACAGGTTTCAGGACCTGAACAAACTCTTGTAGGATTCAAAGAGGTGATCTAGTAACGGATACCCTGAGTATATTGACACTTTTGCAGTCTGCTGTATGGCAGTGAAAATTAAACACTTAGATATGGTGAAAACGAAATCCCAATCGAGAGCGATGTTAAAGATGTTCGACTACTTAACTAAGGTTCGAATAGCAATCGCCGACTTAAAGAACAACAAACGGGGAACCGAATCCATCATCTTTAAATCAACCATTCACCAGATATTGACCGTGCGCCAATACTTGGAACAGGCACGTGAAAAGAGGATCGACACTCGCCACTCGTCGATTTTAGAGCCGCCTTCAACAGCACAAAAAGAGCTATGTCTGAATTTGGAATCCCAGAGAAACTTGCAAAGCTTTGAGAAGGACCACTACGAGGCGTTTGATACCAAACGAGCTTTCAGGCAGGGTGACTGTTTATCGCGTTGTAAGAGCTGCTGAGCTAAATAGGCAAATTGCAATCTTTCACAAGAGTGTCCAACTACTGGCATATGCCCATGATATTGATATCAAAGGCCTTAGCAAACGCGCCGTGACTTATGGTTTCTCCAGACTTGAAAAAGAAGCGAATTGAATGGGTGTGATAGTGAACGAGGACAAGACGAAATATCTCTTGCCATTAAACAAACACTCCCTGTTGACAGTCACTACTTCGAGGTCGTAGATAATTTGGGTATCTTGTGACCAGCATCAACACCAATAATAATGTCAGCCTTGAAATGTAAGGCACAATAGCTCTTGCCAACAGATAGGCAATTGAAAACTAAAGTCCTTTCAAAAGGAACAAAAACCAAACTCTACAAATCGCTCATCATACTCTTCCTACTATTTATATAACGCAAAAGCGTGGACGATTTCAACATCTGATAAGTCGGCCGTGTGAGTCTTCGAGAGAAAAGTTTTGCAGTGGATGGAAGAATGAGCTGTACGGGTATTGGAAAATTTCAGCGAATGCCAATAAAGAAGAAAATGTATATATAAACATGAAACTTCATAAAAGTATGTCGAATGTATGTCTATTCGTTCGTACGTATTTCGAATAAATTTTAATAGATTTGGTCTACAATATGTTATTACATAAAAATTAAAAGATCGTTTAGAAAACATTCAGTTACTGGTTAAGAGACATCAGATTTCATTCATAGTAGTTAATCCATCTTGGTACTTGGATGATATTCGATAGGATACATTAATACATACTTAGATGTTTGCAAGCAAATAATTCCAGGGAGCACCCCTTGGTTTACAAATTTTAAAGAGCCCAAGAGCTCAATAAATTTTCCACGCAACATCTTTGATCTATTCCTATATTAATAACCCCCGAGTTCCCGTTGTATTCCGTAAAACGAAATTAATAAGGTGTTTAATACTCGTTTTCGTCCGAATTTAATCCTTCCAGTTTTATTTAATCACTATACATTATGTGTTCAAATCAATGGATTTTAATATTTTAATGTGTTTTTCACAGGTGGAGAAACACGACGCCATTTGCATACTGCCATTAAATGTTGTTAATGAGAAAATTTATATTTTCCTGTGGTTTTGGTTCATACTTTTAACGTTTTTAACATTACTAACGTTAATATACCGAGTGGTTATAATATTTTCACCACGTATGAGGGTGTACTTGTTTCGTATGCGATTTAGGTAAGTATAGTCTGCAACTATCATATATAAATTATGAATAATTAAAACAATTTGTGTACGAGTAAATAATTATTATTATACTTACATGAGGCAGTTTTTAATTATACACTTTTGTTATTGCATTTACAGGTTAGTGCGTCGAGACGCTATTGAAATTATCGTTCGCCGTTCGAAAATGGGCGATTGGTTTTTATTGTATTTGTTAGGTGAAAATATAGATACAGTTATATTTCGTGATGTTGTACAGGATTTAGCCAATCGTTTAGGACATAATCAACACCACAGGGTGCCTGGACTGAAAGGAGAAATACAGGATGCATGATATTGGGAGTATTAGAAACAGTACAAAATGCAATTTGTCGTCTCAATATAAACATCGCTCATCATCAATCACAATATCAACAACAAAACCGCTTTAACAAACGCAGCAGTAGCACCGGCTTCAAGAAACAATTCACTAATGAAATGAAAGTTAATAAAAAATTTCAAAAAAAAAAAAATGTCAACAGCAAAAGCGAAAAAATATATACAAAAGTCATCAAGCGCACCGATATTAAAAGTAATCTCTTACAAAACTCTAATTTTTTAAGATATCAAATGTAAATCAAAATGTTTTTAGAGTAATCAAAGGGAAAAGTGAAACAGCGAATAATTGTTTATACAATACATTTATGTGTGCAAGTGTGTATATAAATACTACAGAATTAAGCGTAGAGTATGTAAAGAGTAACGAATAAATAGACGATCTCACCTACACTCGTAAATCATCGCGACGCACCCACATAATCATTGCTTGTCATATATTATCATCTACAGAGAGAACCACGACTGAGACGACAACCACGAATGATTGCATTTTCGTAGTGAGCCAAAAAGGACATCTGGTAGTTCTCCAACTGCCTGAGGTCAACATCTACTACACCAAAATCATCTGAACTTGCAGCATCCCATATTTACGGCACCACTTCACATACATGCATAAATCGCTCAAAACTCTCATATTCATGTGCGTGTTCATGTGAGCGGCCCGAAAAGAGAGATAAATCTCATTTTTATATAAAATTCTACCAAAATAAACAACAAAAAAAAAATAACTGATCATGGCGCCGACAGCATACAAAACCAATGTACTTGCATACATGCATTCATATTTTATAAAAAAAAATTTAAAAAAAATGCAGACCAAAAAAATAGACATACATACATACATATTACATATACATATATTCCATTATCATAAGTTGGAGAATACATAACATAACAGCCACATCAATTTATAATAATTTAATACATAATACATACATACATAAATAGCTAATCAGTAAAACCATCTGATGTATTCATACAAATAAAAAATTGCAAATTCAAAAAAAAAAAATAAATAAATAAATAAATAAAGAAAAATGCATTATTATGCAAAACGGAAATTTTTAAAACTACATACATACATATATAACATAGCCATATATACACCCGAACTAAATATGCAAACATGCAAGTATAAATACATAATACATAAACAAATACCAAAAGTTAAAATAAAATTAAGGAGAAAAAAGGCAGTCTCTCTTGCATAACATGAAAGATACAAAAATACAATACATACATATATAGCGCGCCTCATTAAGTAACCGATAAAAATTGATTAGCATTTATACTGAAGACATACTTACTTACATACATACATACTCGTTCACCTGTATATGAAAGCATAAGATACATACATATATATTGTAGTTATAAAGTCATAAAATGGTATGAATGCAAATGAAAACGAAACGAGGTAAAATATTATATCATAACGAAGTATAATTGAAATGTAAATTATTTGTCAAAAATGTAAAACAAAACCGTTAGCTAGTGAAATAAAACATATTGTATGCATGTAATTACGCAAGTAAACAAATATATTGATAAAATAATTCATTAATATTACCTTAGTTCATTCTTACTTACGTACATACACGTACATATGTGCATGCTATTAAAAAAAAAACGAAAGAAAAGAAAAAAACAAATAAATAAGTAAATAAATAAAATTTAAAAATGCGCTGGTTTCCCCAACCACATATATGTACATACTTAAATAAAGAAATAAGCATAGAAAATTATATGCCATTACGAACTACAAATAAAATATACAAATACGAGTGAAAAATTAAAGCAACCGTAGGAAATTAATAAATATATAATAATTTATAATAATTAATAATAAGCAATAATAGGTGAGATGGTGGCAAGAAAGCTATTTCATATAAAAACATTCGTATTGAAGTTTTAAAATAACTAACTAGTCTCATATTAGAAATTGAAAACTCGTGAAGGGATATACTACTTATGTACATATGTATGTATTATACCTGTAGTGCTTAGTATACAAAGTTAAATCCAACAAAACATACATACATATATGCAAGTAAAATAGCATAAATAAGCCCAATGTACACATATACAGTGTGAATCATTTAATTCCACATCTATATACATACATATGTATCGCAGAGAATATATAGATATTTGAAATTCACGTAAAAGAATTTGTAGTTATATTACCAATTTTAGCTTAAACTTAAAATCAATAAGTTTTCAACCACACAGTTCATATATACATACCTAGGATATTTTATTCTGAGCATTTAAGCATGCGTAAATACTCGTACATTATGTAATTTTCAAGTATCCGTCCAAATAGAATGATTCATACACTGCATAACATACATAATCAAACATTATACATACAATTCACTATTTCTAAACCATCTGTGAGAAGTTACAAACCGCAGCAGGATCTTTTTCGGCGTCTAAACAACAGCCAAACAAAATCTACACTTTTATTTTCCAATAAATGTTTCTTAAATAATAACTATAACAATAATTGGAAACAAAATTAGAAGATATCGAACGAAGTTAATACCAAAATCGGCTGTGCAGTTTGTAGGCTTTTACGTTCAAGTTCTTTTCGTTTAACTTTAATTTCGTTAATTTCAAGAAATGTTGATTGTAAATTATTTTTAAGAGTGCCAGCGTGTAATGATGCTCCATGATCATGGGTTCGGGTCTCAGCCAGACCAACATCCGAAAGCCTATAGAGGAAGAAGATTTCTATTAGTCATTTGAAGCGGCTTGAAACTTTAAGCTCCCTCGTTTAAAGGAAAATTTAAGTTTTACACAATACTAGAGGTTACCCGCGGCTTCGTCCGCATGGGATATAAAAATGTTCATAATGAGGTTTTTATTAGTACAAACCTAATTGTGTTGTGTGTTTTATTATAACTTAAAAATTACCATGGTAAAATTACCATAAAATTAAAAATTGATAGAAAAGCTTTCCACATTAGTGCAGGCAAAGAGCTATCTATGTTCCAGATATCAAGCACCATGCATACGACTTTTGATCTAGGCAAAGACCACCAAAGTATGTTCCACATATTATATTAGGCAAAACCGTGCCATCGAATCGGAGCAATGCCAATTACCGGAAAAAAAATTTGCCGAAAAATTTATGTAAATCAAGCGATAGTAAATATTAATTTTTCGGATAGATCGGTCCCGGGCTCCCTTACCTGCAGAATAAGTGTTCCTAATTGTAATTTGAGTCCAAAACTGTATCAAATTTTATTTAAATTAAATTAGTATAAATACAAATTTTTCGCTCGATGTTTACCAAATTTCGTACAAATCAGACGATTTAAAAATAAACTAGCTTTTTTTCGAACAGATAGTTTCAATGTTCACTTTCCTACCGTGTGCATAAGTCATGCGCAGAGCACTCGGTATTACATATTTATTTGAAAAGAATGATCTACGATTTTTCATTGCTTTGCATAATTTTATTTAGTTTTGATAAATTTTGTAAAATGACAGACTTGTTTTCTTGTTTAAAAAATAAATTACTGTTGAATAATTGCTGAGGCTTCGCGGTTGTTGCCGGTTTTGAGTTCGTGTCTGCTTGGCTGTTCGCTGTAGTGCACGAGGGTCTAGTTTGGTTTGTTCGAAATCCTGTTGGAAAATATTTTCCTCCATACCGTAATTTACCGGAATTTGCAATAGTTTAAGAGCATACGTATATATACTTTTTTAAATGCCATTAAAATCCATAGCAAAATTGTGTAAAATACTTCCACATTCAGTTAATTTCCATTAGTCCCCTCTATTTTAGTTTTGTAAGCGATGACACCAAAGTAAAGAGATTACAAATGAAATTACACTGCCAGTATAATGAAAAACTCATAATCCAATTAAATATTAAAAAATATTGCTGAAGTAGACGAAATCAAGTATCACACAGTCATGCTACATTCTGAGCAATAAACATGCCCATAAAATAGAAAATTTACATCTCATCAAGGAAAGCAATAGGTAATATAACTACAAACGAGTAGATGCATAAAATCAGCGCAAATACGTACATATATGTATGTATGTATATGCATATGTACAATAATTTAAAATTGCAATTAGTATATGAAATGAAAAATGCAAAACAAAAACCGCGGTGCTAGTAAGATAAATAATACATTTACTAATCTAAAGTGAAATATGTATATGTATGTTTAAGATATAGAAAATACTGTATAATTTTATTTGTAAATGATTCGAAAAATACTATATCATTAAATTACATAAGCAACGATAATTAATCATAAAACGAAATTTTTAATTTTAAGCAATAATATAATAATAAAAAAGCAAACACAAATAATTAATAATAATAAATATAGGGTAATTTATACAATACTTTTAATTAATGACAACCATTGATTGTATGACTAAAGTAAAACTATGCGTAAATTGTAGCATACTGTGAGTATTAATAATTTTAGCAATAGATTTGTTCCTGAACAAATTTTCACGTTTGTATGCGAAAGAAAAACTAAAAAAAAAAACGTATAAAATTGAAAAAATGCAAAAAATATCTCATAGGTTTAATATATTATTAAATACATACATTACATAAGTAGCAGATACATATTTTTTTACATACATTCGTATGTATTAAAGAACCATACACATCTGAGTATATGTTAAAGCCTGCATATAAGTAATTATGTAATTAGTAATATTATGTAAAGACCAGAACTTCTGAGCACTTTTGTACCAGAAGTTCAGCAATTTTTAACTACATACATCTATGTATATTCGAAATAATAGGTATGTACATACATACATAGCAGCAACGATTTCTATAAAAATCGAAAATTATACATATTTATACGTATTTAGAGGCACAATAGCATATATACGAGTATACATATGTATGAATGCTTTTCGATACTTAGGAAACTGAATTGAAGTGTTCTTGCAATACTAGCCATTTCTTCAATATGGTTCATACATTTCATTGAGTTCAATCCATTTCATTTGAATTGTCATAAATTTAAAACATTTCAAATGAGCCATCGACAACTTATTACTCTTTTTTTTATATCTTATTTATGTTAGTATTCTTGATATCGAATGATGTACGTATACAACTTGGAATTTAGTGAACAGCACTACTCTTCAATTTTGCCATATTCCATAAGAGCTTCTTATTTAAATTTATTATTGTGTAATTATTATGTATTTATACGAACATTCAGAGAAAATGCCAAATAAAGTGCAGTCATAAAGAGATAGGAAACAATAATATGCAATTATTTTCAATTGCTGTATTTTATATCACCAAGAAGGTTCGGATGCCATTTAGCATACATAAGAGGGGCATATGTAAGAATGCACTAAGGGGCGACTAAGAAAGAGTTCAGGAGAAAATCACTATTTGCACATTTATTGCAAAGCCAGTATAGGGTAGTAAGCTATTTTCATCCATATAAACAGTTTTTTAATTTTTTTTTAATTTGTTGTTCAGCAATTATATGCCAGTTGAAGTGCATTGAAATCGTTGGAGAGCTATGGAGTTTTTAGAGTTTCTACATAACTCTGCTTTACCATCTTAAGTAATTGTCTGCTAACTTTATATACTTTTAATGCTTTTTTGGGAACATTTTTTTTTAATTAATATTTAAAATTCAAGCAGTTTCATTTTGTAATATATTACACAGGCCGTCAAAATTTGATTAAATTGTATATGAAGAATTATGCTCCTCCGGTTTTTTTTAGTGCTGAATCGAAATCTGGCTTCAAAACTGTTCCACTTTCGAGATATTCCAATCTAAAAATGCAAAAAAAAAACAGGTTTTGTTTGCTACATTTGAGGTCATGCCACTTCTAGGAAATCGTTATTATACCTGAAAGCACCGCTTCTACTTTTCAAAAGCCATTTTAAATTTTTTGAAAATCTTTTTTTTTGTCTCTGAGAAATTGTCCATTGAGTTTGACAAATTCGTTAATGTTTAGAAATTGAGAAGAACTAAATAAGACTTTGAAAATAGTGTGAAAAACAAGTAAAAATAATTGAATTTCGATTATTCATGAGAGTTTTGGTGTTGTTGACATGAAATCCGATGAAAGTTTGCCCAAAACTTTTTCCTCGAGGTTTTTGGCGTTGTTGATTGCGATCGGTTTATTTGGTAGTTTATTGTTCTGGGAGCTTGTCAGTCTGGTTGGAACTAAGCCTAAACAACTTTGTCGAAAAACAAAACATGGTTGACTTTGAAGAAAGGTGGTATTTTTTTTAAAGTAGAAATCCATTTTAGTTTGTATAACGATAAAAAATATTTTAGTTCCTGCAAGAGATATTGATGTGTTGAATAGAATAACTAATATTAATTAAATATAATATTACAATTTCAGTTCAGATAAAAACGCATTAAAAGTTGCAACAATAAGAAGAAACAGGTCTTGCCGTTTGCAGCTACGTTACGGCTCGGCGGATATTATTATGAGACGGTGACGAAACTTCGTCAATACTTCA